AGCCACACACACACACACACACACAAAAAGTTCCATCTGAACATCAGACTCCTCTTTCTCCATACCTTTTCTAGGTTTCAGTGTTTTATTCAAGTTACTATACGTCTCTTTCACTTTGCCTGCATAATTATAGTTAACCAAGAAACTTCTGTGACTCCAAATCTTGCTCAAAATAAGTATGCTTCAAGAGAACAAAGATTACCAATACATTTTTAGCTTTTTACAAGCATTCTCAAGCATTTGTAAATAAAATATACTTTGTAAGTTGCTTTCATGCTCCTAGTTACATGCAGGAAAATTGAGGAGCTACAGTAATTTATTAAAATTACCAAATTAAGGTTTGAGTTGCCAATACATTCCAAAGCTCTAAAACAAAAGGAAAGAAATATTAAAATTGCCTATATATCAAGTTTATTCATGCACATGTTGAAATAAAATCGTAAGACTGGGGATCGCAGCAAAATAATTCCTTGAATAATAAGTAACTACACACGCTCACAGAAATTACTAGTCATGTAGTAAAGAATTTATTTACTTCAGCCCAGCGTGGTGGTACTCACCTGTAGTCCCAGCACTTGGGAGGCAGAAGCAGGCAGATCTCTGTGAGTTCAAGGCCAGCCTATTCTACAAGTGAGTTCCAGGCCAACTAAGGCTACAGGAAGACCCTGTCTCAAAAAGACCAAAAAAGATAAAAGAAAAAAGAATTTATTTACTTTTGAGTTTGGGTCTCACACTGTAATTTAGGCTGTCCTAAATCTCAATACATAACCAAGGTTGGCATTGAATGCAAAGCAATCTTCCTGACTCAGCTGTGATTATATGTGTAAGCCACCACACCTGGCTCAATAAAGAGATCGGAAATATCAATGCCAGAAAGAATATATTAAAAAAAAAATCCAAAAGTACCAATGTCAATATAAATATTAAAAGCAAAAACTCTTAAGGACATATACTGACCACACAGCTCTGACAGAATTGCATTGTATTAAAACTAAAGTTGAATTTATCTTTATTATGTAGGTCTTGAATTAATCATATAAAACAAACAGTATTATGACAGTTATTCTCACATGAATGCATGTAAGGGTAAAGAATGCCAAGAGTGGTGGCACATCCTTGTAACCCCAGCAATCCAGAGGCAGAGGTAGAACTGTCACAAGTTCAAGGCTAGCCTGGTGTTTACATAGGAGACCCTGTCCCTCTCCCACAAAGAATAAAATGAACTAAATTAGTAACATTACCAACTCTAAAATCCACTCCATTTTCCATAACAAAGTTGTAGAGGGGATGTAAAGGCAGCTGCCACCAAGCCTGATGACCAAGCTCCACCCTCAGGAGCCACATGGTAGAAGGCAAGAATCAACTCGCCTAAAGTTGTCCTCTGCCCTCTACACCAGTGTAGTAGCACATGCCCATACACATACATACACACCCACACACATTTAAAAAATGCAATAAAAAAATCCTTTTAAAAAATATTGGGGCTCAGCTGGGCTTGGTGGGGCATGCCTTTAATCCCAGCACTTGGGAGGCAGAGGCAGGTGGTCTACATAATGAGTTCCAGGCCAGCTGGGGCTACAGGGAGACCCTGTCTCAAAAGACAAAAAAAAAAAAAAAAAAAAAAATTGGGAATGGAGAGATGGCTCAGCAGTTAGCAGCACTGGCTGCTTTTGCAGAGGACCTGGATTTGAGTCCCAGCACCCACACGGCAGCTAACAATTGTTAGTAACTCCAGTTTCACTGGTCTCCATGAGCACTGCGCAACACGGGTGCACTATACAGGCAGGCAATACACTCATACGTGTAAAATAAAAATAACAAAAATTTTAAAAACTATATGACCTATATAGGGACTGGAAAGATGACCCAGCAGTAAAGAGCACTGGCTGCTCTTGCAGAGGCCCTGGGTTTGATTGCCAGAATCTACATGGTGGCTAACAAGGTAGGTAACTCCAGTTGGAGGGGATCTGACACCCTCTTCTGGACTCCACAGGCACTGCACAACACAGGTGCATTTATATACTTACAAGCAAAACACTCATATATATAAAACACAAATAAATTAAATTAAATAAATAAAATTTTAAAGCTATGACCTATAATCTGAGCATTCAGGAGGCTGAATTAGAGAGCAGACTGAGCTACAGGATAAGCCTCTGTCCCAAGAAAGTTTTGATTTAATTTGTTCTTTGGGTACAGCTATCTTTAAGCTTCTCCTTGTCTTTCAGATTCTATGCATTTATTTTGATGTTTACAACCATATTAACATGAAGCAAGGCATGGTGGTGCACACCTGTAATCCTAGCATTTGGAAAGTGGAGGCAAGAGAACATGGAGTTCAAGAATAGTCTGGGCTACAGAGGTCCCTGTCTCAAAAAAAAGAAATGTGTGTATGTGTGTATGTGTGTGTGTGTGTGTGTGTGTGTGTGTGTGT